CTTACTCCTCTCCTCCTGCCCTGTCTTCTGCCCCTGCCTGTGACGGCATGGGAACTCTGGGTTGGAGAACAAATGAAGCAGGAAATAGGGAATAATATACCTCTGGAATCAAAGGCAAAGATCTGGGGTTAGACATTCAAATTCTTGTACCCTACCCTTTTCTCTCCATCAGTGTGCCATCCAACACCAGCAGAAACCTGTGCCTACTCCAAGCACACCTGTTCACACGGTGCCATCACCTCTGCAGGATAAAAGATCTCCCTCACCTCCCTTTAAGAAAAAGAAGAGTAAAACTGTAACACCAAAGAAGGACAAAAAATGCCTCTCTCCAAAGGAAAACAAACACCAAAATTGCTGTTCTGCTATATCACATACAACCAGGTGGACAGATTTAGCCAGCTAAATAACAAAGCTTACAAACTGCAAGATATTTGTAGAATTTAACCTATCCAGCCAATGCAACCCCTCTAGCAAGCTGCTGCTGTGTCTCCTGGGTGGTTTAGTGACAAGCAGTCCAAGCAAAGCACATAAAGCATCGTCTGCCCAGACTGCACTAGCCTGAGGAGAGCGTGAGGTACCACATTTGCAGCCCTCTGCCAGCGCCCAAGACAAATACACACTAGGCCATCCATGGCTGGAGGAATGACAATTCAACGGCAACAAAAACTGCACCCCGCTCCGCTATCCACACTGAGCCTGCTTCCCCAGTTCTCAGGCTCATTGAAGGCAGCCAACAAATGCCCATTAGCTTCTGCGGGTTTCCAGATTTTCCTTCTGCTCTGGGCACCACATTCCTAATGTTTTCACCCACAGTCTCATTGAACTCACGGATCATTGACTCACAGCTGAAGACTGAGCTTCACTATGTTTTGCCCTTGGTCAGGTGCAATTCTGTTGAAATGTGATAATCTGGTCCGAGTGGGCAGCCTCAGCTTTCAACCACTGAAGATAACCGCCTTACCTCAAAATAAACACCAGGCCAAAAAACAACAAAACATTGACTTTGTTATAAATGTATGGAAGAACTTGGACGGGTTCTGCAGGTTCTCTGCTCCTCCTGGGATTTAACCCATAGGCAAGAGTACTTTTTCCCTAGGATGGCCTGAGCCTTGCCTTGAGTGTGTGGATGTGTGAATTGTAACACTTGTATTTCTCTTGAACGTCAAAAAAACCCACTTCAACAAGGTCCTGCATCCCCAGTCCCCACAGACCTAGTTGCATTGCATGCCGCAGCAGACCCCTCCTCTGATTTCAGACAGGTACCCAGGGGGAAGAAGAGATGCCCTTTCCTTTTTCTCACCACACACCACTTCAGAGCAGTTTATTTCAGTACAAACTGAGGATTTCCCTTTTTCTTCTGATCTTCTAAGTGCAGCACATCGTGCTACGCTCTGAAACAAACCCAGAATTTCCGAGAGCCCCCAGAGCACCACACACCGCAGCCCATCCAGGACTTGCGCAACGTTTGGTACGAAGCCAGCGGATCGTCCGTACAGAAAGGCTCAGTGTCAAAAGCAGCATGTGGCGGAGTCAGCAAGCACCTCTCGTTAGTGCCAAGAGGAGCCTGGCTACTAAGCCTTCACACCTCTTTAAAGATGTTTCCTCTGCCTTTAATAGACATTTGCACAAATCTACTCCGAAGCTGAGACCAAGCAGGGTAAAGTTTTAGTTGAGGGAAAAAACAAGCCTTAGCCGTTAGCAAACTGGCCCTTTTCCAGCACGGAGAGCATCTGGCCACCAGCTGTGTTTACAGGACAGCAGGCATAAGGGATAGATCAGGAGAAAATCTGAGAAATGAGTAGACAGTGCCGAAATTTGTCGTGAAAAGAATGCCGGTCTTCCTCCGTGATGCCCCAAACCTTTGCCCTCTGACATTCCCCATCCTTTTCCCAGCTCTCAAGCCTGGAAAATTGCTCACTCAGGAGAACACAGATAGCCTTTCTGGGCTTGGGAAGGGATCCAGCAGGGCTCTAGAGTGAAAAAAAAAAAAGACTGGGACGTGTGGAAACTGGCAGCATGCGAGGCAAAGTGGAAACGTGAGGAAATTCTGGAAACGAAGGGAGGACTTTGAAGAGAGGGAGAAGGAAAGATCTGCCATGAGGCAGAGGCTGCCTGTAAGTCCTCAAATATTACAGCAGCAGATTAGTATAAAAAAAGACAGATGGAATGGAACAGAAACAGCCCTACACTCATTACAGGCTGGAAAGTTATGATTAAAAGAAAAAAATCAGGCCACAAGTTTTTCTAAGGATGTTGGGGTTTTTTTCCATTTTTCCTAGATTGGAGGCAATGTTTTCCCTAAAAATTTCTAACTTATTGCAACTCATACAAATACTAAAGAAGTAGAAGTATTTTTATTTTCTAAGATGATAACACGATCTCTCTAAAAAAATGCTAATAAAAAGCTCTGCTGGAAAGAGCCTTATCTGATAGGGCTGGTATTCATGAGCACCCACTGAAACTCACACTGCTTTTTAGATTAAATGGACAACAGAGCCCTTCCCCCCCAGCCCCAGATTAATGGAAGGAAGAATCCATGCATGAAGCCACATGTAATAAAGCTCGGAGATTATTATAGAAGACAGGATCAGAATTACAACTGATCTTGATGAAGTGGCGAAATTGCCCCAATTAAAGCAGAACAAGTTTCATAGAGACAACTTGGAAATGTTATACTTTGGAAGGTGTAGTAAACAATGCACAAATAAACCCAGGAACTCCTGGGAAAGCATCAGTCAGTCACCCAGGAATTGTAACAGAAGACAGACTAGATCAAAGTCAGGCATAGGATGTTCTTGTAGGAAGTATTCCAGGGTCTGTTTTCTGACATGCTGTACATAAACCTCAGGAGACAGTTACTCTGCTTTGCTTGTTACTGTATAAAACCCCTGCTGGAGTTCTGCATTTTGGGGAAACTGGGGAGTCATGATGAAAGTGGCAGCAAATATCAGAGACAGTAGAAAAGAGAAAGGGACTTTTTTTGCTAGAAAGGGACTAGGAAAGACTTACTAGTGAGGAAGGTAGGGTAATTTCTCTCATACACAGAATCTTGTAACAAGATCTTGTAAGGCTCTCCCATCCATCAGGGCTGCAAGAGAAAGTGGCCTCATTTGCAGTAAAGAAATTCCAAATAGTCTCTCGGGAAACCTTCTGATTACGAGGGTGGTAAAGATCATGGATCCCCCTTCAGAGCCTGCAAGCTGCTCATTGCCCGTCATGGTTCAGACCTCACCCAGACCCGCAGCAGGAGGGATGGACTAAAATCCCAGTTTTCAAACTCTGTTCTGTGGCTCCACAAAGGTCTGCCAACTGCTTCCAGGAGAAGTGAATGCCGGGGTTACACAGGGCCTGGCTCTTCTACTGACAAAAGTAATGAGGGTCACGGGTCGGAAAAGAACTGAATGTCATGAGTCTATCTTTTTTTAAGGTTCCTTGCAGCTATACATCTATGGCTTTGGGATTGATTGCCAGTGTTCTGAAGGGCAAAAAGTACTCCTGCACAATCCCTTCCCATAACAGCTTTGAACGATAGCTGCTTGGGGTTTGTTCTCTCCTACCATTCCCTAGACACCGGCCAGGCAGATCTCGGGGCAGCAGTGGGCACCATGCTTTGTCGTGCTCAGCTGCCCAGACTCACAAGCCCCCAAGGAACAACGGGACAGAGGACTATGCAGGCCGACTCAGGCCGTGTGCACTCGGAGGCCGCTGCCCTCTGTCACTAGAGCCTTTGGCTCGCGTTGGCCTTGAGTGCCCAAACACTCAGCTCGCACACGGCCATCAAAGGGCATGTATCTCTACACCCCTTCATCTCTGAAAGAAAACCAGTCAACGTTACCACAGACACTCTCAACTCTATCAGAAGAACGACAAGCACAGGCAGAGTAATCAGTGTTTCCTTCCTAACGAGGCCCAGGCCAGTTCCTACAAATGCTCAAAAGGCATCACCTTCCAGGAGCAGGCTGTGGACACCGGGCTACACATCCTCTTACCAAAGCACAGTTAGTTTGGCAGTTAGAGACAGGGGCACAACACCCGTGGGTATCACTACAGCGCTAGATGCCAGACTGCCTATCCACAGGTATGCCCGTGGGCATGCTTCCCAGAAAAAGCTATTTGGCCTAGGGACATACACGTACACAACTCACAAAGACTTTGTTGGGCACTACGCGTGTACCCAAGGGGAAGATTTAAATATCATGACTGTTGTTTGACCAACTTTACTATTTTAAACCACGAAGCTACGGGGTGACGCCCGCTCCCATCTAGTTATCGCTGTCGTGGAAGGTTTGGTTTCCACGGACGAGGAGGCACACCAAATGACAACAAGCACCCCTGCGCGTTGCTGCTACATCAACCATGGCCTCGCTTCTCTAGGATGGCAACATTCACACAGAAGCTGCCATTACGGAAATGTTCCAGACATCTTGCGTGAGCAACTACTATGCAGGAAAAAAAAAGCTTAATTGACTGACATGCTGTGTCCCTGCAACATTAGTGGCAATTCAGACTTTTTTGTAATTTGCTGCAGAAACTGCAGAGGCTTTAAAAGACCAAGCACACAGGAGGACTTACACCTCAGAGTCATAAAACAGATTCCTACCGTGTTGATAACTAAAGCCAAAACTGTGTTCTCTGAGCATGCCAAAAGCCATCATCATGGAGGAGCACCTGACGTAGTTACTTCAACAGAAGAACACCAGGTTAACATGCACTGTCAAAATAAAACTTGTGGAGTCTGTGAACTGGGCACAGTTTCTGAACGGCATGCTAGAAAATAAATATATTAATGTCACTTTGCCATGGAGAAGGCAACATCTTTGCCCACTTGCTGTGGCTTTCAGAGACAGATCATCAGGAATGTTGTGGCACGTAGCAGATTCGTCTTGCTAACGATACGCTGCAAAATAAATGAAGCTTTGACGTTATATCACATCCCCCACCCCACCCAAACCCTGCATTGTAGATAACCTATACATTCTCAGGATACAGTCAGAAATCATTCTATAGTACATATTTAATTATAATTTAAAAATATCTAACTCGGACTCAGTCTCTGGCCAGTAGCTAAGTATTGACACATTACTGAAGTAAAGGTCTGTTATCATCCCTTCTCTGTAACAACAGGAATCAGCATCCTGAGAAGGGTCTCCAGGGGTGTCACACCACAACCAATGGCACCAAAAAAAAAAAAAAAAAAGCCTGCTAATTTCACAAAATGAGGTTTGACAAGAAGTAGCATTGCATTTGTCTTGGCGAAACGAAGCACGAACGTAACATTTCACTGGTACAGTTACCATGCAAACGCATGTTGAGTTTGTCATTGTTTTTAACCCCAAATCACGAGTAGCATGCAGTTCTCCTGGCCCCCTCCCGCCCCCCGCAACTACTGTATTAGAGATGGTCTGGGTAATATACCTCTTTGGTGTAACCATAGCCTGTCAGGCACGATTATACCACCCTAGGAAAGAATACAAGCAAAACTTGATCATATGTATGTTTACACAATGTACATTTTACCATTTTAAAAAAACAAAAGATGTTACATAGATTCTCAAACACAGCTCTGTCAAAAATGAAATTTTAAGCTTAAGAAATAGTTTTTAAACTACAAGGCCACCCCATTATTTTTTATGAACAATTTAAAAAGTTCCCACCCCTAAAAATCTGCCAGTATATTTCCTCAGCTGTAACAGTCTTACCCACTCTCTAATACAGTTGATCTTTGCTCGACAGCAATAACAGTTCTTACATTTCTTAAATGCACGAGATAATGGACTCCGGGATAGATATAGTTCTTAAATGCGTAACACTGGCACAAATCCGCCTTAAATGATTAATGGGTCAATTCGGGTCTTCCCTGGGACCACCACTCAGGCAGGGGCTTCCGCTGTTCACGGATGTGAGTTCTGGCTTCTGCTGGCATCCAGCTCCACCACCACGTGTGTGCGCTCAGGATCCGAGTACAACAGCGATTCACTGGACACTCTTGTACCCCGTTTGCTCAAAGTCACGGCGGAGCTTTGTTTTCTGCACTCCCTCACCCAAGCGGGGCCGCAGCCCCAGCGCAGCGCTGTCGGCCAACACAGAACTATTGGGATGCGAAGTAGAATTTTTAATCATTTTTTTTCCTGTAGTCGTTTAAGCAACTGCAACGGGTTTAAGCAACTGCCACAGCAGACTTAACTTGCAGGGTCTTTATCAGAGGGTTACCGTCTTCCTCAGCTTTACACAATGGAGCCCTTTGAAGAAGACAAATGAATTGACTGAATCCTTGTGGCCAACGTCCTCTGTAAGTCCTGTAGCACATTCTGACCGGACGTTTCTCCATTCTTGTCGTACAACAGCTGTTTGAAAGCTTCGTTTTCAATGAGGACCATCATATTTTTTAGGAAGTAGCCTTCACAATAGGAAGACAGTTCAGTGACTCCGAGAAACTGCAAGAAGTGAAATTATAGAAAGATAAGCATTCTGAGAAACCCTACTCCACAAATACGGTGCGTAAGAGCTGCACACACACAAATGCACCAACTATGCGTTTCCGGCAGGCACAGTGACACTTACAGAGGTGTATGTGGGAGGGGAAGGAGTTAAACAGTATTGGACACTGATGATTCCGGTCTCAATTCCACGTTATAAGGCTGTTAAGGAGACAAACTTCAGGGCTGTAGCTCTGCTCCCTTGGAAATTAGTGAGAGTTTTACCACAGAGTTCACTGGACCCATGATTTCACGCTAGAAGTTACACCCTAAAACAACTTACTACCAACCAGGTTTAAAGAATGCCATCCCTTGCAAGGATGAGGCATATGACCTGTCACACAGTGTTTCATGCTTCAAGGAATCTTTGGAGGAGAAAGGAATGTTTGCAGTGCATGTGGTTTGGGGCTGTCAGTGTCCCCTTATGCTGATTCATGTCTGGGCAATCGGCAGGGATACTGTAATGTGTGAGGAAACCTTAACTGTGCCAGCAAAAACGATCCTTACTGGTCATCTGAGGGGTGACCTGTACTGGTCATCACTCACTGTGGTCATACAAGTATAGACATGATATTCCGTTACAGGTGTAAGTGTAAGACACACAAGTGTAGAGAGTGCTCAGCCTGTCCTCCTGCCAGGTCCAAGATCTTCAGCTGTGCAAGGTTGTGCTGGATTTAGTCAGGAAGGAGTTAACTCTCTTTATTGTGGCTGCTAGAAAGCTGTGTTCCTGGATGCAGAGAGCAGCACTGATAAGGTCTCAGCTGGCACTGAGGAATGCCTGTACCAGATTCAAGGTCCTTCTCCACTTCTGACACTGCAGCTGCATTCCCAGCTCTGCTGTCTCGCTACAGGCAGTGCAGGGGACACACAGTTCAGGCAGCTGACCCAAACTGCCCAGGGAGGTATTTCATTCCATAGTACGTCATGCTCGGGGCATAGGCGAGGAGGGGGTTTGGGAGCCATTACTCTCTCCCTTACCCTCTCTTCTTCACTCCCGTACACTTGCTGACCCTCTCCCTGACTGCTGCATTAGCTGCTTTGCTCACTCCTGTGCTGGCTCCTTCGGGAGGGAGTTGAGTTGGTGGGTTTGTTCAGTTTTCCCGGTCATGCTGTCGCTGATGGGGTTCACTCGGAATCTGCTGCGACAGCTCTGGGGCTGCGATCGCTCTTGGGCTCTCTGGCTCTGACCCTCACCTGGTTGTGCACTGGTCAGTGGGTGACCAGTGTGACCTAACTGTATCATATGTTTTATTTTCTATTATTTTAATTATGCATTATTAGTAGTATTTGTATATATTCATTTAGATTCAATTAGTAAATAGTTCTTTTCTCAACTTTATGAGCTTTCTTATTTCTTTCTTCCTCTGATTCTCCCCCTTTGCTGGAGGAGGGGAGGGGGGATTTGTGGGAGCAGCTTCGTGGTATTTTGCTAGCCGGAGCTAAGCCATGACAGAGGTGCAGCCTGGGCATTGCTCAGCTTTGGGTCCACACTGGAAGAACTACACAGCAGAGTTGCTCACCACCACCTTAATATCACGTTTGGAACGACAAATAAAAATTGCTAAATAAAGGAAGAAAGAAAATTTTAGGGGAAAAGAACTCCCCAAATCTCCAGAACAAATTAGGGGTAGGTAGGATCTGTCTTCCCAAGGAAAATGAATTAATTTAACTTGATTGAAAACCATGCAATTTTTCATCACATGATTTTGCACCCAGAAGTGAGAGCTTATCTGTGAATCTGTATTCTACTCTGAAACGTCATTCATCCCTATTAATTACTTCAATATATTCACAGCATTGAGGAAATAATGTACTTTTCTTTTTCAGATTTGTTCTGAGGCCCAGACTGCAATCCGTGCAAGTGTTGAGTGTTTTAGGCCTGTATTTGAAACTCCAAATGATTTTACTGTAACTTTGGAGGCGTTCATGTAAAAACCAACTGGTATCTAGTGGTAACTAGTCAATCACGGTTATAAATCCGATTTGCCCAGTTACTTAATTTCTTTTTGGAAGTAAAGAACAGTAACAAAGGCTTTTAAAAATGAAGCCCTTAAACTGATACTAATCAAATGGCTGCCTCTGTACACGTTGCAATTTTAAGAATGAAAAGCTCACGGGTTAATACTCTTAATTCAGCTTTTAAATTGTACGTGTGACCAGATCCACTTTGTCTCACCTTCCTAGCATTACTTCACCTCTTTAACACAAGGTCTCAATCTCTTGTTCCTACAGCTCCTTTTACACAGCTCACCACCCTGCTAAACACTGTTCTACAACCTAGGCCCCCACCACAGACAGCTTTCCAAACCTGTGCTCAGTTCACACCATGCTTCCACCAAATCCTCTCTTTTTCTCAGTCATCATGACAAAGACCGTGCTCCGTGTGGGCCAACCTGCTCGCACATCCCCATCTGGAAAAGCAGGCCTCGGCATCGCCTGAGTTCCTGCAGGCGCAGCTGCGCTTGCAAAGTAGCAAGGACTAGAAACGGTACCTAAATCATGAGAAAGTTACTCAAAATCTACTGCTGACTGACGCGGTGGTTCCTGGCTTCAGCGCCTGTCCACCTTACTCCTGTCCTCACTGCGGCCTAGCACGAGCTTCTTCCACACTTCAGAGAGCAACATGGACGGTCAGCTGGCAAGCTGTGCTCAGGTGCCTGTGGGGTCCCCTGGCTCATCAGCACCGTTTGGCCTCTTCCACCACTTACCATTATCTCGTGTTCATATAACGAACAATCGAAGCTGCTGTGACATGGGAGCACTCCAGGCAGAACGATCTGTGTTCAGATTAATCACCTGCACATCACACAGACCAAGAGCAAAAAGGTGGAAAAGTATCTGAACTAGCTTTAAATGTGCTAGTTCAGGTCCTGGAAACCTTCTACCTATAGCATTATGAAACTCAGCCCTGATAATTTACTGGCAGCAGGGTAAATTAGCCCGTGCAGAACTCTAATGTGATGCGGCTTAACTAATTCCCTAAATCCAGATTTCATTCACAGCTACCTCGGCTTTCTCTGCAATGCACTACCCACAGCACTGCAAACAGAACCCTGGCTCTAACAGCCTCTCAACTACACCATCTCCACTGGGAGATGCAGGCACAGAAACCCTGCAGGCTGAGGCCCTGGCACGCAAACAAGGAGCTGGATTTAGCCACCGGGTTTGTTCAGTCCCAGCGCTGGCAGTGCACGAGTTCCTCAGACGGGGCTAAAGCTTGGTGTAAGAACGTTCTTCAGTCAGAGCGTAAAGAGTAGCCACATTTCACAATCTGAAGAAAACACGTGAACTTAAAACAAAATTGTTCATTGTACTTTTAGTAACAGTAATACAAATTGAGAAGTTCCCCCATGAGCTAAAGATAAATATTTTTCAAAAGATTCCTGCATGGCTGACTCCTTTTTTTTTTCCTATTACGATAAATGGACCTGCAGATATACCTCATTTCTTATTCATTTTATAGGTGGAACTTCATGCTATTTCAAACACTGATTGCACGTTATCTGTACATCAAGACCTAACATTATTACTCTCTGTAGGAAATACCTGATGATGGGAATGGAGGTCAGATCTGCAGGGGTTTGGCACAATCTGCAGGATTACTCTGTTCAATCAAACCTTCCTGTCACGCTGCACCATTTTATCTTTTGTATAGACCATGTAAATTATAGAAAAAAGTCATCTAAGGAATGCTTTAAAAATATTTCATTGCAACTACTTGTGTATGATTTCCATCTTCCAAGTAAAAGTCTAACTGCTAAGCATGCAAGGGGAGCAGAAAAACTGGAACTAATCAATGTGGCAACCACCTTCATCACTGAGCGAAAATAGGTTTTCTAGGTCAAAAAATGCCATGCTTTTATGCCTAATGACTTAGGCCCTCTCACAAGCTAAGTAAATAATTTGATTCCAATAAGGAGCTGTGAATCTCTCCTCTCCTAGACACAGAATTCTCATTACCATCCTTGCACAGCTCGGAGCCGTTGCACTTTGACAAGGTGGCATTTTTATATATTGACAAGCTGTCACCAGCATTGAGTACATCACCCCAGTGGGCTTCAGCTAGGGGGAAGTAGGAAACTGTAAAGGGAAAATTCAGCTTGGAAGGTGAAAGGTGTCTTATTCAGTTTGGTGATTCCTGTTGAATAACTCAGCAGTTTGGGTTGCCATGATAAGGGATAGGTCTGACACATGGAGGTACACTCAAAATGAGTTTGGAGCACTTAGAGAAGGGGGTGAGCAGTTGTAAAAACATAGATGTTTTTACACGACATGATTTAGGACTGTCACTATACTAGGTACCTATTAGCCACTCAGTCCCAGTAAATACCAAATCTTAAATAAATAACAAACTGTCACTACTTATCATAAAACTGACCGAGTGTGACGACAGACACATAACATGCAAGCATATGTAGTTATTTTTACCTTGGCATGATTATAAATATCCACGCAGTTTTCTGTATTAATGCTTTTTGCGCAAATGATCTCACAGTGTCGTTGTAAAGCTTCAAGCTGGAAAAATTTAGCAGCAGAGAGAAGCTAAAAAAAAAACAAAAGGCAAGGAAAAAAATAGTCAAAACTGCTTAGCAATACAGAATCAGAGCTTGCTTCTTTACTCTTTCATTATATTTTTTTCCTCTGCTCCTACTTCAGTTAGCATGAAAGTACTCATAAACAGTCAGAGGGAGAAGGCTGCTTGGTTCCTTCAACCCTCTGCAGTCCCCTCTAGGTCGCACTGTGGGAAGCTGTAGACGGACAGACCACCACAGGCTGCTCAGCTCCACGTGCTGACTTTGGGATGGGATGGGGGTGTGTGTGTGAGAGAAGAAGGAAATCACAGCTTGGAGAGTCTTTGGTCACTTTGCAAACATGACTCTGCAATGAGGGATCTGCAATTAGATTCCAGGGAAAATAAAGTTCCAGTTCAACCCCTCCCCAAGCTCTGGCTGAAACAGAGCACTTGGGCTAGATGTGAGGATGCCAGCAGAAGGACCAGGACCAAGATTATAGAGGAATTCAAATCAGATGATGATAACCACGCTGGGCAGTCTTAAAAAACCTAGAGAGGCAATAAACCTCCAATCTGTCACCTCAAGCAGACTCAAGGAAATGGAGTCGGATCCCCATATGCTCCTTGCTCTAGCTCGCGAGCAGCAGTAACATCATGCCTAGGCCAAGGACACTCAAACGCTGCCTAGCCCCATGTTTCTCCAAGGAGTGGATGCCCAGCAGGATACGATGCAAAGGTGAGAACCAGCTTGGTGTGAGGCACTGCCCAGTCACACTCATGTTCGTGTCATGTGTCTGTATGGCTGCACTACCATGGCTCTTGAGTCACCAGCACTCGAGCTGACCTCCCTCTCTGGCCCTGCATCCACCCCATGGATAAACTACTTGGACTGGCACTGCTTTGGGACCTCTGCATGCCACTCTACACTGTGGGCAAGACCTGAAGTCTGTGGCGTGAAAATGGCTTAAATTTTGAGTTCTCTAACTGATTGCAGTAGTGTTAAGGGTTAATACCCTGTTGTCCTCTTTCTGTCTTTTTACAGCAGGGAAAAGGAATTTCATTTTCTGTCTTTCCATGGTAGGTCACTGCCTCTGGCTCTCTGCTCTGGCTTACGAAGCAGGTTGAGGTTCTTCATTGACTGACACCTTGCTCTAACCCAGCCAGGTCTCTTAGGCCCTGTTCAGGTGTTTAGGCATTTATACGGCCCTTATCATGTAGGACTGCATGACAAAAAGCTATCCTGTGAATCCCAAAAGGGCTCTCATGCCACTAGGTACGAGCACTAGGCAACAAACCCCTGAAACTTCCATGACATTATTCTGACTTCTATGCAGTCCGCTCAAGCTGTGCTTTAATCCCATAAATAAATCCAAGTGCTGGAAATCTGCAGTGCTGATGTGATAGCAGCCAGCTGGCCCCAATTATGAATTGCAGCAAAGATTTCTGTGGAGTATTTCTGGTACTTCTTGTTATCGTATTTGTAATAAGGCAAGTTGCTAAATGCAGTTTTGAAAGATAAAGCCAAATCCTATTCCAGCTGCTTCTGTGGCTCAAGCAGTCACGTGCTGGTTTGTAATTACTTTAAACTGTGAGGAACTGTGGCCAGATCTGTTATCAACAGATCAATCAATCAGTCACACATTCTTGAGTCACAGAAGTTTTGAGATGTTTCAGAAGTAGAGCAAGCAGCCAGCTGAACTGCAGCACAGATTTTTTTTAACAGCCTAGGTGATAACACATGCATCCCCATAAAGCCATTGCACTGCCTAGTCCGAAACTCTTTATTCCAGAAAGGGTTAGAAATTCAGGAGCTTCTTTCAACACTATGAGTCAAATAGAGAATCGGTGACCTTCTCCTATAAAGCTCAGAAAGTCAGTGTGGGTATGCTTTGTTAAAAATCCACTGCCTGCATTGGAGAGGGATAATTTCAGTCTGGACTGGTTTCACCCTCCAGCTGCCAGCAGGGTTGGTACAGGTGTCCCTGTACCCACCAGAACTGATTCATCTCGGCCACTCGTACCCCAGAGAAGAGTTGCTCCCAGTTTCTGGTTAGCAGTGCTTTGGCCAATCCTCACATGGATGCTGTAGGGTCAGACTAACTAATGTAGGCAACCATAACACACCATGGTGGCAGACTATCACCTGTACACTGGTGACTACTAGCTGTTTAAGCAGCTCTGATTTTAGTATTCACTGTCCCGTATTCTTTTTGGCTGCCATAGTTTGGTAGCTGTTGAGAGGAAAACTCCCTGAATGGCTATCAAGAATTTGCTCAAATCTCTTGTAGTTCTACATAGTTGGAGTCGTTAGGCTGATCATAGTAACAACAGCACACAGTATTGGGAAGAGGATGACTTAACAGCCAGACAGGTTATGGATGTGTGGCTACCCTGAAGGCTCAGTCAGCTCCAGTTGGCTTGGTTTGGCTTTCACAGACGGGTACAGCGGCACTGGATGTTTTACATGCAGTGAGAAAGGGGCAAAGTCTGTACCTCAGGGAGCAGCTTAAGGTATTATTCAGAAAGTTTGGCTGTCACATGCTTGAAATTGAACTGAACTGTGGCTCCAGTGGGATTTCTCCCATGGTTAAAGCCATGCCAAAGAATTCTTCTGAGTGAGGAACAAAATTGGATGCTTTTACGCTGCTGAGACAGGTCTGGACATGTAAACCTGCGCTAATAAACCAAAAGTAAGAGTGTGGCAGAGAGAAGCTGACTGGCCCAGCTGGAGCAGAGCACCTCTCCTTCTCCAGAGAGCTAAGAGAGAGAGCGGATGGTACATTATGCTGCCAGGACTTGCTCCCAGATTTTGCTAACACCAGCTCTGCATTTCCTTGAAGGAGCCTCTCAAAGCATCTAACTAGATATTTTTATTTCCGACGCCTTTTTTTTCTTTTGCTTGATGATCATAATTTTTCTACTCTTTCTTCTCTGACAGTCAGCTTCATACTGGCAGAAGTTACCATAACGGGTGACCGGCAGAGAAGGAGACTGGGTGTCTCCCGCAGGACTGCGGACAGCCTGGGAACTCCGGGTGAGGCAGTGCTGGCTCTTACAGCAGCGCTCATGTCTTGCCCAATGGCCATGTGCCCTTGGGTGAACTCTACATAGATCACTTAGCATTGCTCCCACTGTAATTAAGATAAATGTCTCTTACCTCCATAATTTCATTATTTTTAATCAGGAGTGACTCTGCACCTCCATAATAAAGATACTGCATAACCAGCTGTAATAAAACAAAAGGGGCGTTTATAAAAAGCAATTCAAGACATTAGGGAACGGGGGGTGACGTAAGGATTGCAGGCGATACCTGAGGCTCTCCAACACCACCAAGGATTTATAGATAAAACTAGCCTAAACCTCCTGATTTCAAGATATATTTGCTTACACTCTGTCTCTGCACAGTTCAGTATTTCCTTCTCACCGGTAGTCTGATGTCTCAACCCTCACCAGCCACATTGTCCAGACTTTCTGGTGAGCTCCAAACAGTTTGCAGGAAGCTCATTAATTCATTCTGAATTTTCAGTGTATTTCCCAGTACGTCCAGTACATTACTAACTCAGGAAAGTATAATATATAAAGGTTATTCCTGTATTCCATCCCTGGCAATGGCACCTCTACCTTCACCCAGCTGTGTGTGAGCATGCATGGGATGATGAGAAAGAGTGGGGGAGGCTTTGCACCATAATACGAGCCAGCTAAGATCCCTCTGCAGAGAGCTTCCAGCAAGCCTAAAGTTACTGTGGGCAGCTGGGAATTATCTGCAGCGGGAACAGTTGATACATGGAACTGTCTGAGCTCTGACTCAAACAAGGGAAGCATATATAGCATATATATATGCTACAGATAGGGAAAGCAAGCTCTGTATTTTCATGGCAAAAAACTGACTGACCGATTCTGCTGAGGAAGGGAATGGACCGTGTCTCTTCCAGGCCTGCCCATTAAATGCAGAAAGAGACAAGAAGAGAAAAAAAGAACCAAGTGCTTTACCTTGACATGCGCTGCTTTGTCTGCATAGCCCGTCTAAGTGAAATTCATGCTATTGTACCTGCTTGGGCAGGACGTCTGCAGTCGACAGCGCTCTGCAGCTCAGTGTATGAAGGGAGATGAAGCCTGTGCTCATGAAACCACTCCTCCGAGCTACGTGTTTATCAAATACACACGTACTAATTCGGACAGGGCACGTACGCTGTTCCTATTACATGTTCCATTCAAATTCAATGTGAGAGCTGACTTTACCTGAAAGATGGGGTACTTCACATAGTTGATCTCAATACAAGTACTATCAGATGAGGGCTTGCTAGACAGCAATGCTTTAAACCTAAATAAAAAGGAGCAAGATTGAAATACCAGCCCAATTATCTCTCTGAAAAAGTATGGAAGGACAACATCAGCTCTTGCAAAAACAGTACACTGAAATGAACGGATTTGTCACCAAAAACCATCAAGAGTTAGACACTGACATAAAGTTCAAACCAAAAGGAAGAAGCCTCTCTTTTAGGTGATTTCAAGTTGAAATTTTGGAAAAATACATCTAATATCACAATAGAATAAAATATACATTCAGGAAATTCAGATTCTGTAATGATGCATATTATAAAACCAAAATAATTATTTTCCCTTTTTTTTTTTTTCTTGGAAGCAACACATCTTTGTGGAAGACTTGCAACATTTAAAAACTGTGCATCTTCTTTTTTGAAGGAGATACATTTTGGCCTATGTCTATTATGGTGCTTTAGAAAAAGTTCGGAACAAAATACTAAAGCAACTACACTAAGGCTTTTAATGGTTGTCTGCATGCTCAATACAATTTTGTAAGAAGAGGCAAGAGAGAAAAATGGATAGGTTGCTGTTCTTCGACTATCAAAGCCTGAAATTCAGACACAAGTTTCAGGAAAAAACCCCACATTTTAAGTTAATAAATGCAGATTCACGTGAGACACACATATGCAATCTGTTTCTCAAACCCAGACATTCCCATTTGATCAGAAGGAGAAAATGGGAAATGCACTGCCAGAAACATCTGCCCTGGTACTTCCTCCTTTTGATAATTCATCTGACCTTCTAGCCATAGTGCAAAGCTTGGCTTATCTATCAAACCCAGCATTTGCTGGATGGTAACCTTTCCCATATTATGACTGCATCTTGTTAATTAAAATATGGATAACAATTGATTTGCCTTTACTAGTGTCAAACTCTATTATGAACACAATTTAGCAGGTTTAAAGCTGGACTTTGGAATGTGTTTGTACCTCTAGCAATAAGCTCTGAACCAAAATACCCATTTTTAATTGAAGGCAGGGTCAGATACTGCAGTTACTTTATGCAAATCTCGTTCTGTGCTATGGGTTGGCAGCATGTCTAGCACCAGTGCTCAAACTACCCAAAACCAGTGGCTTGTCCCTGCCACATCTTGAAATAAGGTCTTAAGGAGGGCCAGCTATATTTTGTTTAAAAGCACACCTTTAATTATAAAGCTGTGTACAAATAAGGTTTGTGAGCATCTTTAAGCTCAGGTTGAGCTGGGTGACCCATGTCCAGCCTTCTGAGCACAGGGATTAAGAGCTGGATGCAGCAACAAGCTCCATGCAAATGTGCCTCGGTGGAATGAAGTCAGATGCATGGCCAGAAGCATGGATCATTTACAGGGTGGGAATCTAGTGATGGAAGCACTTGTTAAACATCCTGCAGAGCAACCAGAAACAAGCTGTTGAACCCTCTAAGAATCTTAACCACAACAACAAAAAGCAAAATCACAAAATCAAATTCTATTTTTGTTGAAGACCAGAAATGTCTCTGTATCTTACCTTGGTGACGCAGTAAATAGCAACACTCTGTGTGCATAAAACGGTCTTCCTTCCACCAGAAATGTAACATCTGACATCTCTTTGTTGTTAAGAAAATGGGGATCTAGAATCACAAAAATAACAATAAAACAACAAAAAAACCCCAATAACTTGTGTTTGGAAGAGGTCGTGAACGAACAAAATATTTTCCTGTTTTGACAAAAGAAGACAATAGCGTAAAAGGATATTTTTTTAATGAGTAAAGCCCATAAAGCTATTTTGGACAGCCTGAGACAGAAGCCCCCTAGACAGCCACATGGAGTTCAGACAAAGGGAATTCAAAGCTTGGAAGTCCACAAGGACCTTTGCCGAGACGACCACCAGCCGTCCCCACCGTGTGGAGCTGGCACAGCCTCCTAGCTCTGCTACCCAAAGCAAACTGCAGCTGAATGGATGCCTACGCTCACTTATACCCTATTTCTGCCCTCTCCCTGTGCTGGGAAACCTTTGTGCCACGGGGAGGAGGGTCCTGGAAAATCGTTGGGGTCTTCTCTTGGTCACGTTAAAACAATCCAGGCTGTGTCAGCAGGGCTGGTAGGGCTGTGCCGCCGCAGCATCACGCACAGCCAGCCACGGCGGTTTGAGATGTGGACAGACGTTTGGCTCTGGGCCCCGGGCTCAGATCCCAGCCTAATTAGCAACACAGACAAAGCTTTGCAGATTTACAGTCCCACGCCAATGCACCTGATGACCCTCCTGATTTCAGCGGGAGTTTCAGGTCAGGCTACACTTGGGGCCCTTCCTTGTTCGAGTTCTGCCTTTGTAATTCAGGTTTTCCTCTGACTCGTGCCCTTCCAAGCACCCGGTCTGCAATGCAGACTTCCCACAGCTCCCCTTGAAGAGTCAACGAGTATCTTTAATTCATGCTTACCTAGGCGAGAGGTCTGCTTGCGCTTAATTTCAACGAGCTTTGGAATTGGGTAAGGTCCATAGCAATGAGTGAAAATTACAGAGAGCTGCTGGCTGATCACTTCGTTCTAAGCAAAAGAAAAAAAAACATATGCAACATAAGCGTAGTATGCAAGGTTAGATCAGTACGCAAAGGAGAAGTTATGTTGTTCTCAAGAGTAGCCTGTTTTGAACTTGGAGAATGTGATTGCTGAAGCTTTATTAAAAAACAGAGTTTAGGATTATCATTGTTTGTTAGAAACTGCAATCCTCATTTACTTGATTGCTACATCTCCCATAGGAATTGGGTAAAATTAAAAGTTCTCTCCTTGGTCCAGGGGTCTTCTTTACTCAACGAACTCCACAGCCCCTGGCCCCTCCTTAGAAACAAAGCTCCTTTACTATAGCTACTTAATTTCATTTGCAAACTTCCTTTACTGGAAAATGACTTTTCGTTGCTCTGTATAAAATGGTCATGGGTCTTTTTTAGAATGGTTTTAGAAACCCACAGCTACGAACAGATACAGCTGCATAGTTTCCATACATTTCCACACAGCAGTCTCCCAAACAGACCCTCCCTTACAGAGTGACAGAAGCATCACAGCCTGTGCCTGAACCTCCTCATTCAATCCCAAACGTTCCAGTAACGTGCTCTTGCACCACTGCCATTGGCCTGGGTACCACTGGGGTGAGGAAGCCACCAGACCTTCACAGAACCAGGTCTGGTCCCTGACCCTATCCATTTCTGCCCAGACTCCCAGGGCAAGGCACCCACAGGACGCTTCCCTGTGAGTGCCTAAGCAACAGGAACATTCATACGACTCATCTGCAAGGACAGCAAAATGGATTTAGTCCTTAGCTACCTAAGTCACAGGCAAAGGCAAGATTTAAAAGCTTTTGCAAATTTTCTCCCACTCTTTGCTGGTAACCAGAGCAGGTCTGGCCAAGTTCCATGGTACCACACGGCTAATTCATGACATCTTTTAACTACCCTCTTGGCTGGTGATTCCTTTCCACACCAGCAAACAGAAAAAAGGTGAGGCACGTAGATATGAGAGAGGCCAAGGAAATAAGCAGGTAAGGGAAAGAATCTTAATATAAAAATTTGAGGAGTGTAGATGTTATACTAAAAATATTTCCAGGCTCACAGAGCAGAAATCGAAGCTTTCCTTTCTCTGAGCACATTTCAGCTCAGTTCTAAGAGTGATGCTCCTTAAATCCCATGAGGGATGAATAGGAGTGGCAAAGATCCTGTAATGACTCCCTTACCGCATCTAATCAAACTGGGTGGGAAAAGGGTAGAGCTGAGCCCTCACAGGCACAGGCTGATGTCAAAGGAAATTACGCGCTCGCCCGCAGGCAGGAGTTGGCTCCTATTACTATGTCAGATGTAGCATTAAAAGAAACACTAAGATAAGAGAAATACTGATACTAAGAGACATCATTTAGCATGGCACGGGGACCAGCACTCAGAGAGGGGCTCACTGCTGTGGCTCTGAGACAAGGAGGACGTCCTGCACCGGGAGCATCTCTCTGTTCAGCATCTTCCTGACGGAGATCCGCAAAGCGCTTCACAAAGGGAGTGAATCACAGGGTGAAGAGAAAAGGAAGATTTAAGGCCAGATTTAAAGAAGGAAGTGACTCAGCCGCCGGGAGGGCTGCAGGGGGAGAGCTCTAGACAGTCAGGGCAGAAAGAGCAATTGCTTCTCTGCTCAGAAGGACTGTGCCGAAGCGTCGCGGCCGACTGAGTCAGCCAGGGAGGAGTGTGTCCGGGGGGATGCTGATTACCAGCAGGGCAGCTCCCAGTTGGATCTGGCAGATGCTAAGAAGTCAGTAAATGCAATGGAGGATGGGGATAATTCCGTGGTTCAGAGCAGAGGGAAGCTTCTGGAGAGGAGAGGCGTAATTGGAAGAGCAATGCTCACCTTCACCCGGAGTGAATAAAAGCAGAGTAACTGCACTAAAGAGGATAGCTACTGGTAACTCCCTCTTGAATTTGCCGGGGTGCACAGGTCCTGTCTACAATGCTGTGGTTTTAGTGGGTCCATGAATTCACCAGTCCCAGCCACAGCAGTGCCTGAGCAACAGCACACATATACTTCAATAAAGACAATGCATCTCCTCCTTCCAGGGTGCCTGTAGGAATGTGCTGATGGAAAATCTGGTATTGAGCTCCCAGTGTCTTGTTAGGAGTTGGAGGTCTCACTCACCAGCCCGAGCCACGGCACCGTGTACCAGGACATCCAGGTGCACCAAGACTGGGGAAGAACGGGCCACCCCCAGTCGCGCAGGTGGGAAAAGAGGACCCCCGCTCGTAACTCCAAACATCACGATGAACAGGTCGCGCATGCGGACCACCTCACGGGAGTCTGCCTAGACAGGCGAGGCACTGCCAGCTCCCTGGGTCACCAACGCAGCACGAACCCTGCTGTGGGCAGACACAAGCCCATTATAAAGCCACACTGCCCACAAGCCTGTGAAAAACCTGGTGTGAACTAAGCTCTCATTAGCTCAAGGTGTGATATGTTCACTCTCAAGATGCTTAAAAACCCTGAGACACCGAACAGAGACGGGACAAAAAGAAAAGAGGTCTTATGATTGGCACTTCAAAGGAAGCAGGGCCATCAGGCAGTGGCTTGACGCACTGCAGAGCTTCCGAGCTCCAACACAGGACACTGCTCTCATTTGGCAGAGAGGAGGTCGGAGACCTTTGGCTTCTGTCACTAACATTAAATACTTACAACGCGTGCCGCTAAAAAGCAAAGAAATCTGCTTGGCTAGAAAGATGAAGCATGTGCTCATTTAGAGCCATTGCTAGCAAACAGCAGCAAGGTTTCTTCTCGAGACACAGGGAGGGGAGCAGAGAGCTGTTACAGCAGAGCAAGACCGCTCCACACACCACCCCGCACGCAGCCAAGCTCTCAGGGCTGTGGCCCTGATCAGCTCCCCGCAGAGCCTCTGCCGGCTTTTACCAACAAACTGGACAGAAAGAGGCAGCAAACAGGAGAGAGAAAAGAGATGCAAAAGGTACAGTCTGTGACTGGATAGCTGGGGAAAAAAAATGGCTTTTTAAAGCCAAATCCTGCTCCTGGAGCAAGCTGAGCTGGAGTGCCTCTGAAGTAACTGGGAACAACTGCAAGAATCCACAACCTGAAGCATCAGCACTGCTCTAGCAGAGAGGAGGACACGTCCAGCCTATTCAACCTTCCCCCTTCCACAGTGCTTGCATCGGGAAGCTCAGAAGCCACGCTGGTTATCACATCCATCCCATTTAAAGCACAAAGCTGGAAAATGCTTCCCCGTCTATCTTATCACCCTACCAGCTGACTGTGAAAGAACAGCTGTAAGAGCTCGCTGCAGCAGTTGTGGGCGGCAATACTAACACCGGAGGAGCAAATTGAAAGTTTGTTTTCTTGCTACAGTTTGATGTTGGAAAACATTGTGCCAGGATGCGTGAGGCTGAGATCTGGAGCGCAGCCAGCTTCCTTTCAGACATGGGCGTTTGTACGCAGTCAAAGGGAGCCGATGTGCATCTTCTGCTGTGGGATGGGGAAGAAAGCTTGGCATAGGATATAATAAAAACATTTACCTAGCCACAGGGTAGTTTACAAATAGGCAAAGGGGAACAGGGAACAACAGTGAATCTTCTGATGGAGACGGTGCTTCCAGCAGAGGGTTGGTCAGTGAGCAAGCAACTTTGCTTTGTAGATACAAGCGGTCTCCTGACTTAAAAGTGCTCTTCAGCAGAGATCTAAAGGAATTCCCCACTCCTGGAGAATGCACTTGAACTGCGAGGGGAATTCATAAACTCTTTTGAAGCAAAACTGAAGGTTTTCAATTTGCTGGAGCAGAGTTGACTAGTCGACTGATCTAAAAAGAGGTGAAGACCTGAGTGGGGAGAGCAGGGGTATTCTTTCCTGAATGTCCATCTGAACGTGGTCTGCAGCAGGACTCAAGAAAGGTTCCTCCAGACTTCGGCACATAGGCTGCGAGAGCTTGCTCCATTCCAGCTTACTCAGTTCAACCCAGCCAAGCCATTCTCGGATGTGGTCCTACAAGGTACTAGACACAGCTGGGAAATACATAGCCAGTTGTTTTTCCAGTACCTGTGGAAGATTTATGTCATCTTGGTGTCTGTGGTCCAAACTCTCAAGGAGAGAACTCAGGTCGGATTTGGCAGTTACACTTAGGTTTTGCTCTTCTCTGATCACACTTTGCTTCAGCTGTTCATAGGGCCCCCATTCCCACACCACACCTCTGGACTGCTCAGTTCTCCTTACCCATCTACAGATACCCCACCACCTCTACATGGCTGCCCTCCACAGCGGTACCAAGTTCGGCTGCTCTTGAAGAAGAGCCTCCAAAAGCCCAACCAGTCCTTTGGGTCTTCCTTCTATTGATGTCGCCCTCGCCAGCTCAGTCCTGTTAATGACTGTTTAACCTAGGTGTGCCAGGCCCTCAAATTCCTCTACCACAAACCTCCAAAACCAAAAGCTCACCGCGATAAGCAGAAAAACCACACAACTCTTCTGGGCTCGGTGTCTGCCCGTTAATACCCATCACTCCCTCCAAAGCAGAGAAACCATGCTGCTCAGGGAACAGGAGTGCTGGCAGAGGTATCTTTTCTCTCTCTGGTCCTGAGGATGCTGAAATGACCCAGCTCTCTGTTAAACGCACAGCTGCAGAAGCACTGCTTCCAGTCACCCATTTCACACGTGGTCCCTGGTAGCTGCTCCAGCAGTAGCGGAGTCTCAGGATACCCCAAGCACATGGAGGACTCATCGGAACTTCCTTCCACGACATGCTGGGATGCCCTTGAATTTTTCCTCTGTTTATGCTCCCCTCTACCCAGAAAGAGCTGATGAAGAGTGAGGGCTTTTTGCAGACTCTCCGGCCCTGAGCACGCAAACTCTATGAGACTTTCTTGGCCATTTCTCTGAACCTTTTCCATCCTTGCCTAGGTGCTCCCGCCTCGGTCCTCTCGCATAATTCACTTTTGCCAGCAGCCTCAAAACTGATTAAACGCCACTTTAGAGGGTCACTCCTAGATGATTAAGCAGCATACACATAATTAATATTAGTCAACAGT